TTTAATTTACATGTATTTACCACACTCACTTGCTCATTCACTCGCTTCGGTTGTGCAAAACGATAAAATCAAAACTTTTCGCACGTTCAACCACCAGCACCAGACGTCAACGCAAGAATTAAAGCATCTCTCCACTGTCTATCCTACTCACTCTCTCTCTCTCTCATTCACTCACACACTCTATGCGCTGCTTCTCACACCCTCACCATGCCTCTCCATGTGCGATTCCGTGAATTCGGCAATTTTTCATACATATATGCGCCACGGAATAACACAATGCGATGCTGATTTAAATTTAACGAATTTTATGCGTACCATATGAAATACGAGCGATATCTGTGATGTGTGCGTCGTATGGTTTAGATTATTTATATTGATCGTCCATGATGTGCACACAAAATGCACGACATTTTCCAAAATCCCAATTATTCAAATTGATAATTGTGAAATGTGTGTTGCTGTGCATAAGGAATATTTCCAGCCGAGCGAAATGTTTGTACGAGAGAAGAATGTTCAAGATTTGGCCACCTTCGGTCCGTTTGACGTTAATTAAAACCAGGAAACGACCAGAATAAAATTGCCTGACGAGAAAACATTCAGTACACTGAATAATAGGCAACTTCTCCACCCTCGGTCGCCCGGCTTTGGCTTTCGGCTTCCAAATAGCAATGATACAGCCAAACTCAAATGACCAAGTGGTTTCGCAAGTTTTAGCTACAATCAAATGCAATGGGTCTGTGGTTTTTGTGTGCACTTAAGTTTGCTACCAAATGGTTATTTACGTTTTGTTCTGTCGACTGTAGAGAGAGAGTTGTAGCTGTCGTCGGTTTCATTTTATGCTTTCTTCAAGCTGCATTCACTCAGCAGAACCTCTTCTTCTCTCGTTTTTTCTTTTTTTTTATTAAATCACATTCAGTTTGCTCTAAAGTTTGTCTTTCATTATTATCAAGTGGTTTTAAACATGAAATTTACTCAAAATGCACTGAACATTTGTCACAAGCATTCTAATGACGTTTATGATTTTCGTTATCATTTGCACTCAAACCACCGACCTTCATTTGTTTCGCACTCTACAGCTGTACAGTATGCCCGATGACGACCGAGACACATACAGAGAGCGAGATAGATCGAGGGGAATTCCATAAAGTTAAAATGCAGTTGAAATTGTTCTGAGACTTCAACATTGCAAACAATTTGAAAACAACATCATCTTTTTTTTTTCTATCAAATTCGGAACGTGCATTTATTTACTTTGAAAATATTATTAGCAAAATAATTAATTTAATCTTACACTCAATCTTATTGTCAACAGTTTATCCTCTAACATGTTTTTTCTAGTTTACAATTGAAGTTTGTTTGCTATTTGAGTTTGTGTGAGTATTTTGTGATTAACATTTTGATTGGGCTGAAATGACGAAAAGTAAAATAATTGACTCGATGATATTTGATGAATGTGGGAATAACTGGGATCGGATTGTGACGATCAGTTGTGGCGATAGTGTGTCGATTGCGGTGGTCGATCATTGGTTTGGTGTAGCCGGTGCACTGGCCGGAGAACTGACCGGAGAACTGGCCGAAGAATTGGAGCTACCTGATGAACTAGTTGATCGGGGATCTACCGTTGAGCTTTCATTGGTAGCTGGTCTCGAATCAAGGTCAGGCGAAGGCTCACTTCTGGATGCAGCCGACGCACCTAAGGCGCCTGTTACAATATTCTAGAAAACAATAGATGATAATTTTAAGGCGTAACGCATTCGACGGCACAACACATAGATCCAATTTACTTCTCTGTGATCGACACTTGAGCAAACTGAGTAAAATATTTAGTTCATTTAATTGATTTATTCATATGTTCATCAAGTCAATTCTTATTCCTACATATGTAAAATATTATGTAATCACCTGTTGAACCAGAGCATTACCGCGCGGGGAATACAAAGACCAATGATTATAAAATTGCCCTAGGCTGGATGAACATGGTTGGCAAACATTGGCGACCACCAATGATTTGGACTGAAATCGTAATAAAGCGACAAACGAATGAAAACTAATGCAGCAACAAGAAAAATTGAAGAAAAAAAATGTAATAATAATATGCAGATACTTACTGGAATTTTATACACCATTTCCACGAATGTTGATAAGTTCACATTAGAGCCGTATGCATCCACAAAGTTTTCTGTATTCCCACCATATAGACAGAGACCGCATGCACCCGAAGTGAGCAGATGAGCATGGTGACCACGAATTCGTCTCGCGAAAGCGAAATGGTTGCTGAAACGGACCAACAACGTTTCACACCCACAACATAAAACAGAACCAACTGGAAGCTAGAGTAAATAGCACAAATGAGTGGAGAAAAATAGCAAAAAAATGCCAAACACATAAATTGAGTGCACGATCAATATAAAAGTTCATACTTACATTTATACCGTATAAATCCTCTAGAAAAACCACGTCCGGTATTGGATGAACTGAACCATTTGAAGAACATAAACAGCACTTCCCTTGAGCTTGTGACATTTTTGTTTTATTGAAAGAAATATACAGATATACTGGCTATGAATTCGAAAAAGAATGGAGTTGTTTATTAAATTTCGTTCAAACTAAGCTATCAAATGCTTAACGAGCGTGTCGAGTTAACTTAACTTATTCACAATTGAATGCGTGAATGGCAGATATGTCATTATAGTACATTATAGGTAGCGTTCGTCCGACATTTGTGAAACGATGACGTTCGCACCACGGTTGAAGGTTGCGTTCACATTTTCGTTTCTTTTTCTTTTGGTATTTTTTGGAGAAAAAAAAAATGTTTTTATTGCGGTAAAGCTGCACTCACTCAACGAAACCTCTTCTTCGCTCGCCTTTTCCTTTTTTTTTATTAAATCGCATTCAGTTTGCTCTAAAGTTTGTCTTTCATTATTATCAAGTGGTTTTAACATGAAATTCACTCAAAATGCACTGAACATTTGTCACAAGCAGAATTCCATAAAGTTAAAATGCAGTTGAAATTGTTTTGAGACTTCAACATTGCAAACAATTTGAAAACAACATCATTTTTTTTTCTATCAAATTCGGAACGTGCATTTATTTACATTGAAAATATCATTAGCAAAATAATTAATTTAATCTTGCACTCAATTTTATTGTCAACAGTTTATCCTCTAAATTGTTTTTTCTAGTTTACAATTAGATTTTTGGTCACATTTTATGTAAGAAGAACGATGACAGTAAATAGATGCAAAAGTATGATGGAGCTATTGATAAAGGAGTTTTTGTTGTTGTGGGGACGTCACTTGGACAGCACAGCAAGTGCTCACATTGCTGATGGTGAATAATGAATTGCTGTTGTCGTTGTTGTTGAATGTAAACAAAATGAAGAGGTGTTTGTTGGCTGGAACGAATTACATCACTTGTGCTACTTTGCGACGATGAAAGCCTGGAACTGAAGAGATCAAACACATTCCAAAATGAAAATCCGCTCGAGAAAATGGTCAAAATCGAAAGTACCAATTGATATACTTACATGGCGCTAAAATTTTCCATTCCTGAAATGTTTTGACAAGAATCTCGGCGCTTCGTTCGCTTAAATTGAGACCGCTAATCAGCAAATCCAATTCGTTTGGCAAGATTAAATGTGTTTCGATATATTTCACTCGCACTGGTGATGGAGCACTGTAACTGATTGGTTGTGTGTTGACTGGTGTACGGTTTGCGACTGGCTGTGTTACTGACATCACATTTGCGTATTCCACTTTGCCGGTGGCACCATCGATTCGAGTTAAGCAAAAATAACAGTCGACATTGTGATCATGTGGTTCGCGCCAAATCAATGGCTTGGCAAAATTTAAGCCGCCGCCACAGTCATTGAACCACTTTAGTAGGCCCAAATGACAATTTTTGCACAGAAAATGCGGCACCCACTGTTTGTTTTGATCACATATACCGAAGCCAAAGTATGCCAGGTACGCTTTTTTGTGCACTTCGCTGATTGGCTTTTTGAATGCCGCCGAAACGTATTCGCCACAAACGTAACAAAAACTATCGGGATGATTTTTACATACGGCTGATTCGCTGGTCATCTTTGCATCTTTGAAGTGATTGTTCCACCGGCAGACACACAACGTGGTTGATTACTGTTTGAAACCAAAAAAAAAAATTGTTTGGCATCAATGACAGCGCCAATAATAATGCTTTGTTCGCACAACTGTCAAAGTACACACAAACTGTGGGGTGGGTTCCTCGATCCGTGATCGCATAAGTGTCGTATTTGAAACTGTGTTCATGCATAGCAGAATGAAGATAGAATGGAAAAATCAGACTTTCATAAGCATTTTTTTATTTTTGAAGATTTTCTTAATTTTTTTTTTAAACAAATTCTTGAAAAACAATTGTTTAATGATTTTTTTCAACCAAAAATTGTTTATTTTTTGCAACTGAATTCAGTTTGAATGTTGTCATCGTAACGCATGGAATTGTGTTGGATCGATTGAGCACGAGTTTCACCGTTTCTGGTGGCACTTTGAGTGTGTACGAAAATATTCGATTGAATCAAGACGGAAACATTTTTTTCAAACAATGGTAAGGTTGATTTAATTCGCATTTTGCCTTCATTTATTTAATTGTGTTTGTGTCGGTTTGTGTCTTTTGTTTGTAACTTTGGCAAAATGTGGAATCGAAAAATAAATCGCGTTTGCAAAGCAAACGAGCCACAAAAGAGGACATTTGTTCATTACAAAAAGTGGAAACCATTAAAGCAAAACTTTTCGCTATGACTGATGTTTGTGTTTTATTTTGTTTCAGCCACCGAAAAAGAAGAAGGGAACCGGTAAGACTGTTTTAAACTATAAAATTCGCTCTGGTTTGATGATGCAAAAACGAAACATAAGATCGACAGACGACAGACGTTTGTATTGTTCTCATCGGCAAGCCAAAAATGAATATTAAACGAAGCGTCCATGACTTAATTCCGTCCCAAACATAACTAAGTTTCGGTAGCGAGTCTATTAAATGTGAAACCATTCGCGATAACCTACTTCATGCATCATGCGGTATTGCTGCGATTCATGCACCAACTACCAACTTTGACAGCTTTGGTGTTTCTGTCTGAAGCACAGGGGGGAAAAGAATGAAGCAGAAGAACCGTTGCGTAGTTTTAAAGCGTTGTGAATTTGTGAATTCAGAATGGAATAGAACGAAAAGTGCAGTAGCATGAGCATGGCATAGTTTCCTGCTGACGAGTCGGTGAAGTGAATTTCGGAAATAAAATACAAACAACGTCTCTTTATTGCACGGTCACACATTCAGCAGCTGTGGCGGTAGCAAATATCGAGGGCCATTCATTCACGAATATTCCGAAAAATACTTGGCAGATAAGTAGTTAAAAGTTTGGTGCGTGCTCATTTTTCCCTCGTCCTCTTTTTCGCTTCTCTCGGCAGATCTGTGTGTGTGTGTGTGTGTGTGTGGGATGCATTGAGAGTGATGTAAGTGTTGGCGGTGATGAAACTTGATGAATACGGCAAAGTTGCGAGAGAAAGAGAACGAGCAAGAGAAAGGGAGTTGTATTCCCTATTGTAAAGCACAAGTTTTCAATGAGTTTTACAGTCGCTTTGTAATATTTTCCTTTTTATTCCATTTCCGTTTAATCAGAATCCGTTGTGACCATTGTTATAAACATCGTTCTCACTCTCGACGTCTTCGCTATCGTCGACGTCTTCGTCTCTTGGCTACAACTGGTGAATTTGGCTTGCAGCTTCCTTGATTAATTTTTTATTAATAAAAAAACGCCGCATGAAAAACATCGAACCAAGACGAGAAAGATGCTTTTATCAATCACATTTATTAAATTAGCCAGCTACTTATGGACGTTGGTCTATTGAGTTTTGATTTCATGCTATTTTGTTATCATAGCCATGTGAAACCTTTCCATGGAGATCGTTCTTCATTGTTCACTCATTTTCATTTCCATTTCAATTGTTCTGTTTTCTTTCTTCGCATGCACATCATTTCCGAAGATTTTTATTCCATTTCAGACGCGTTCTTCAAACATTAGATGCGCATTTTTTTCTCTCTCCACCTCCAACAAAAACGAAACCCTATTGCTGCCGAATTATTTTCAGACAAAAGAGAAGAAAAAAAAACTGCAATAACTTCGCCGAATATGAAATATAAAATTCAAAACCATTTTGCACACAACGACGCCCAAGTTTTCCCTTCAAAAAAGTGCATTTCCGTATTCATATTCCATGTTCCACCGAACACAAATGGTCGAAAGTGTGAAGGAGACCAAAAACTGTTCTGTAGCATAACAGAATGGGAAAAAAAGTAGAACTTACCGCAAAGTTTTCATCTCAACGACTCGATTGCAATGGTTGGCTAAAGTATGTCGCTCTCTCACCCTCTCTCGAAACCGTATGTTGACTGTCGACAAGAAACTGATTTTGATGTTTGCATTTTTTTTACATGCTTTCGAGTGCTTGCACTTCAATTTTGTGCATGTATGAGCATGCAAAAATGGTTCCACTCACACATAGTGAACCGCAAACTAAAGACCATAACCATGTCCATGGGCATGGGCATTAAACTACTGCAGGATAGAGAGTGAGAACGAAAATAAAAAAAAATAGTGAAGTGCACTTCATTGATTTACATCAAGATATTAGTTTAATGTGCTCGTTGACTAGCGCCGAATGCTTAGTCTTTCCTCTGTCCTGCCTCACTTTGCGCACTGTTTTACTATCAACAAATGTTATGCGACAGAGGAAGACAACAGAGAAGAAAAAAAAAACGGCGTTCGCAATAAAAAACGGCACATGAAAATCTCATGAATTGTTTGCTGACAACTAAATTATTTGGCGTTTCAGATATGATGCTCCGAATTTATTGAGCTATTTCATTCATCGTTTTTATTTTGTAAATTAACTTTCACACTTTCAAGTGCTTTTTTCTTCAACTATTTTTATTTTTCTACCGAGTTTGACATCAATGAATGAAATGTGTAAAGTCACACTAAAAATGGGGGTGGGGAGGAAGTGTGTATTCATACACATTTTTTGCGATAAATGTCAAGTGCCTGTTCTCGACAATCCGCTCAAGTGACGATGAATCAATGCTTTTTGTTTACATTGAAGGAAGCCATTCCACTTGAAAACAGCAATTTATGAAATTTGATTAAATGTCGCAAGCCAAACGGAAATTTGTATTGACATGTTGAAAGGATTATTATTACATCGCCGAGAACAATATTCCGTTTTATTGTTCTGCTTTGGATGGCATAACGTTTGTGTTGATGTCTCTGTTTTGATCTTGAAATCAATGCATGCGATGTAATCGATGTCACGTACACAGTCTCGAAAATTGAGGAAACGTAATTAATTCCGATTATTGTTATCAGCTGTTATCGATGGCGTTGATACGTCGTCCATGACACGTGATCAGCTCGAAAAGTTTTCGCACAATCTCAAAAATGAAGTCGAAAAGGAGCGTGAGGAACGGAATTATTTCCAATTGGAACGTGACCAGTTGCGAACATTTTGGGAAATCACGAAAAATCAATTGGGTAAGTGATCAGCGGCCGCTTTTATTGTTGCCATCATCTTGTTACATTTATTTAAATTACTCTTTATATGCACGATTATGCTTTTGTCTTCTAAAATTCATTGCTTTGTGCCGCATCCCTTTTTCACTCCCTCTCTCATTCATTTGCTGGGAAAAGCACAAAGCAACGATGTTGACTGCTACTTGAAAACTTTAAGAATTCTCTGTGATTTTATACTTGAGCAGAAGATGCAAAGCTGGAGATATTGGCGAAAGAGCGTGAGGTTGAAATGGCACAAGAGCAAGCCGAACTGGATGTTAAGCACATTGCCCAACAAATGAAGCATCTACAGTACGAGAATCAGAATCGAATCGCTGAAATACGTGCCGAGAACATGACACAATTGAAATTGGCACAAGAAGACCATGGATTACAAGAGCTAGAACTATTGAATGATAAACGAGAACTGAGACGATTACTACGTGAAAAAGATGAAATGACTGAGCTGCAAATACAACAATTGAAAATGGAACAAAGCGAAGAGCTAAGGTAGTATAGACAAACCAACACAAGTCGATATTGACACATATCACCAGCAAATGCCTATTACACTCACATCAATTCGTTATGTGTAATATGCATTCCATCTTATAGACAGATTCGTTAAATGTTAAACGAAATGAAGCGATTCACCTATTAAATGGTGTGCCATTTGCCATGCACATAAATTCATAATAGACATAAGCTGTTGTTGCGTTTAAGTAGTTTCACTTGTAATTATGGGCGCCTAAGTTAGCGCACGTTGGAGAGTGTTTGAACAATGCAATTGCTTGTGGTGGATTCACACACACTCTCTCTCTCTCTCTCTGTGTGTGTGTGTGTGTTTGAACTGTAGCAATTCCAATGCTATCATTTTAATGTGAATCAATCAATTATTATTCGAACCAGAAGAAGTGTATCTCAATATTTGCCAAGACAATGGAATCAATTGAGCACAATGACTTCTCTTCTCTGTCCTACTTTTGCATCAAAACATCCCACTCCATTCAACTTGTTATGTTTTTTTTTCCACGTATTTTATTTTTCTGTCGTTTCTCAGCAAAGAACGAAGACACTTTCAGCAGCAGCTCCGCAAAATGACCGAATTGTACGAAGGACGACTGCAGCAATACATTCATGAGTCCGAAACCAAGCACAAAATGGAAATGGATGAAATTGATGAGCGAAAGAGTAATCAAATTATGAAACTTATTAAAGAGCACGAAGAGTCGCTGGCAGACATTCGAAACTACTACAATGACATTGTTCAAAGTAATCTAACGTTAATTGGTAGTCTTAAGGAGCAAATGCAGGAATTAAGTACACAATTGGAGAAAAGTGAACATCAACTGAAAAAGGTAACTCTGTCCAATTTGTATGTATCAAACAATTTAAAGTGTTTTATTTACTGTTTCCGTCAGTTTGAAGTTTTGTCCTGTTGTTTTGTATCTCCTTTCGAACAAACATTTTCAGTACTTAATGATCGGGAAATGGAAATTTAGTCGGATTTTTTTTGTTGTTTCTGGTACAATTTTAATTAGGTCACAGCAGAGAATCGAAAGTTGGCCAAACCATTGCAAGAGTCACAAATTGAATTGACTGATTTACGTAAAAAACTCGAGCATTTCAACAAAGAGCGTTCGGCATTGTCTCGCGTCCGCTTGCAGAGTGCCGCATCAACGAAGGAGCTAACGGCAGTGAAGTGGGAAATGGAGGCGCTTCGAATGAGATGCGATGCAATTGCCGTAGAACGAGACGAGTTGAAGAAACGTTTTGGTGAGATTATGATTGAAATGCAACAGAAGACTGGACTGAAAAATGTGCTACTTGAACGAAAATTGACACAGCTTAAAAAAGAATACGAACGCTTGGAAATGGTTTTCGGTGAAGTACTCAAAGTCACCGGTCTTGAGCCGCAGGATCTATGTACAAAAGTCGAAAATTATTTGCGCCAGAAAAATGAACGCATCGAACAGTTGGAGTATGAACTGGCTCGTGTGGCAAAATGCTATGGCAATTTACTTGAATCGTACGAAACACAATTGGAACGATCTGGTATACCAAAAGATAGCCATGAATTTCATTCGGTTCACTGTATCGCTCCGCTTTTATTCAGAAAAGATTCAAGGGAAATTGCCGCACCAACACCAACTACATAACGAGAATATTTCCGTTTTGAATTATTCATTGAAACAAATCGAACAAAAGTGTTCCATCTTCAAAGTCATATTTGAATTTTCAAACCGCGTTCAATTGCGTCTGCCTGGGAATACTGACCGAAGCGCGCTCTGGTGTTCGGACTTTCAACGTTGCTGACACAGTGTGACGTTTACTCGATAGGAAAACATAACAAATTGAAGTCTTTATCAAACAACACCGATTTGTCATCTGAAATAAAATTGTGATTTTTCTAACATTCTAAATTTGGCGTTTTGTGTTTGATTTGAGTTTTGACAATGACATCGATGTTCGATCAGTATAATACGGCGCTAAAGCGTGAGCAACCGTCCAGTAGCCAAATGATAAATGCAGCACTAACCAGTTCGGGTGGCTATGTAAGTGTGCCGAAGAAAGAAGAAACACCCATTTTTTCAAAGCGAAAAGTGCCAATCAATTTACCGCAAGACATCCTCTTCACCCGAGTTTGCAACAATTGGCTGGTCATTTTGATGTCACACAATGTCCTGCTGCGATTGTATTTGCAACAAACAGACCGTCAAGATGGTAAATGCAATGTTCACAGTTAAATCCAACACAAAGATGACTCATCGGTCGTTTAACATATTTTTTGCAGAGGTTTTCCTTGAGAAACATCTCACCGGGCTACGTGTGTCGAATATTTTTTTGGATCCAACCGGAAATCATTTGCTCATCGCGTTAGCTACAAAATGTCCAGGCTTCGTACCAGAGCTATTGTATTTGCATCGCAAAAGCAACAGACCAAAGAAAATCGAAAAGTTCCGTGATCACGAAATCACTGCCGTCGCTTTTAACTACACGAACCAGTCGGAAACATCAACGGGCTCAATTTTGATTGGCACGACCAAGGGATTGATTTTTGAAACGGAACTGGGTATCGAAGGTGAAAAAATGTTCCAAAGCAATTGGAAACAGGTAAGTAGTGTCACAAACATGTCTGTCGCCACAGTGCTGGTGGTGGAAGACATTGGTCATAGTATGCCACTTGAATTATTTGCACCCTTTCCTATCCTCACTGTCTCTACTCCTACGCTCATAATTTAAAAGATACCAAATTATCTACCCATTTATGGCAACCATGAAATCGATGGTTTGGTATGTAAATATGTACAAAAAAAATTAGGCTACTTAAGTGCATGACTCTTGCTTGCTTCCTTCCTTATGCTTCTTGGATTTTGACTGATTTTTTTCGCTGCGTTCAAGACAATAATTAACATTTCGATCGATTTCACAGGTCTTTGATATCGGAAAAGGAGAGCATTGTCCCATAACAGGCATTGAATTCCATAAAGCGCCCAACACTAGTCGATACATCGTTCTCGTTTCAACCGTTAATCGACTCTATAAGTTCCATGAAAATCTACGAGTGGACGAAAAACCACCATATTTACAGGTTTGCTTATATGCTTGAGAATTTATATTCAACTTTCATTCGTCCGTTGAGGTTTTTTTGCACCATGATTTTAATATTTCTTCAAAATAATTGATCATTTCATTGCAGCACATTTTTGCATCATATCTAAATGTACCGGAGGACATAAAGGATTTCCATCAAATACCCAATAAATTGAAATATTCGAAGTTGAGTCTCAATTACGACAAATCGGTGAAATTTCCGAAAAGTTTCGGTTGGCTAACGGATATTGGAATATACACGGGCGAGGTAATGATGAAGAGAAGATCCCATTATTTCCATTTGTATATTGATTTTATCCATTTTTCTACATGCAAATTCCAGATTGACCAGCAGGCCGAATCGCCACAATTCATTCTAACCGAGGAAGTGGTTCCATTTCCCGAAACGCCGGCGGAAGAGTCGATTGATGTGCACAGTGCGTCTTATACGTCAAAGACCAGAAAACAAGTTTATCCGATTTCGTTCATCTTAACCGATTTCCATGCACTACTATTATACGCAGATCATGTGACAGCCGTCTCTCTACTCAACTATCAAGTTGTGTATGAGGAGTATTTCGCAGATCAGCTGGGCAAATTTATTGAAGTTTCTCGAGATATACAGACGGGTGCAATTTTTGCTTGCACTGGCCGAAGTATTTTCCGTTTCAAGGTAACAAATGAGCATCGCCATGTTTGGCTGCTGTATTTGGAGAAGAATGAATTTGAGTTGGCCAAATTGTATTGTCAAGACAATGCTGCCCATTTGGATAAGGTTCTAGTGAAGCAAGCCGAACTGAAATTTGGTTATAAAGAATATATGGAAAGTGCACGCATTTACTCGGAAACACAGTCCAGTTTTGAAGATGTTTGCTTAAAATTCATGGAGATCAATGAATACGATGCGTTGCTTGTTTTCTTGAAGAATCGTCTCGACCGATTGGATCCACAAGACAAAACTCAAATAACGATGCTTGTGGTGTGGATTGTTGAACTTTATCTAACACAAATGGCTCGTTGCTCAGAGCAACCGGCCAAACTTCGCAAGTATCAAACGGAATTTGATGAGCTCATGAAAACGACCAAAGTTGTGGAGTGTATTCGAAATAATCGCACGGTTATTTACGATTTGATGGCTTCACACGGCGATAATTTTAACTTGAACACGTTAACCGCGGTGAATAAGGACTTTGAGTCCGTGTTGGATCAGTATATAAATCAAGGGAAATATAAAGAGGCAGTCGCCGTACTCAATCGACAGACGAAGCCAGAATTGTTCTACAAATATTGTCCAATGCTGATGGAGGAAATTCCAAGAGACACGATTGATGCTATCATTGCCCAGGGCAGACGCCTCAACCCAATTGAACTGCTACCAACATTCATTTGTCAAGAGACAGAATCGCAGCGGAATGAATCGATTCGATACATGGAATTCTGCACGGGTTCACTCGGATGCACCGATCAAGCGATACACAATTTCCTAGTGAAATTGTACACGCAACATAGAAGCGACAAAGTCATGACCTATTTGGAATTACAAGGAAAGGACATTTCTTTGGTGCATTACGACATTCATTACGCACTCAGGTGAGACTAATTTTCTTCAGACAAATGCTGTTTACCTGATTATTACCCTGATTAGAATGAATCTAATTTCATAGTAGATAAGAAAACCTCACAAAATTCTTCGTTTCCACAGAGTTTGTGCTGAACATAATGCAACGCGAGCGTGTGTATTCTTGCAATGTCTGCTTGAACTATGGCATCCAGCCGTTGAATTGGCTTTAACATTTGACACGAAATTGGCTCAGCAAACAGCGTCACAGCCCAGTGACCGTGAACTGCAACGTAAACTGTGGTTGTTGATTGCCGAGCATGAAATCAAAGGCAAAAATGATGTCAAACCAGCACTTGAGCTGCTGAAGGAATGTGATTTACTGAGAATAGAAGATTTGCTTCCGTTCTTTGATGATTTCCAGAAAATTGATCACTTCAAGGAAGTCATTTGTGATGCACTTAAGGTAATTCTCATAAAAATTTATTCAATTTTTCTAACCCAAAATCAAATTCGCTGTTTCAACAACATCGGAAAACTAACAAAATCCCATAAAATCTGGTAATGTTTCATATTTCATAATCATCATTCGAACCAGGAGTATAATGCGAAAATCCAAGAGCAGCGCATTGACATGGAAGAGTCAGCCAAGTCGGCTGAACGCGTGCGAAATGATCTACAAACATTCCATAATCGATCGATAATCATTGATGGACAAGAATTGTGTGCAATTTGCAGTGAATACTTGCTGGTGAAACCATTTTTCATATTTCCTTGCGGACACAAATTTCATCACGACTGTTTGGAGCATCAAATTATGAAACATTTGAGTAAGAATGCGTATTCAAGCAGTAGGGATTGGATCATTTAGTACGGATTATCTAAAGAAAAATTCTTTCTTTTGAATAGGCAATGAGCATATAATCCGTTTGTCGGAGCTGAAACAACAATTACAAACTCTGAGCTTAAATCTTACTGTAACCGGCCAAACAGAAACAACGATTGTCAACGGAGGAGGAGCTGCAAACTTGTCGCAACGTGACAACATCAAAAATGAAATTGAAAATATCCTGGCTGCCGAGTGTATGTTCTGTGGCGAGAATATGATAAATCAGATCGATAAGCCATTCATCGAAGACTGGGATCGTGTGAATCTCGATTGGCAGTGACGACTTCCACTGTATTATTCTAAGAGCCTTTTCATAATTCCTATAACCTTAAAGGAACTCAAATAAAAAACAAACAGTTACTTGATTTAAAAAAACATCGAAATTATATTTTTATTTTCAATTCGGAGTGTGAGTTCCATTTTCTTCCATATATGAAATTTATTAAAATAATGGATTTGATGATATTTGTTGAATGTGGGAATCAATCACTCGAATCGGATCGAATTGTGACGGTCTGTTGGGTAAAAGCATTCGACGGCACAACACATAGATCCAATTTACTTCTCTGTGATGGGCACTAGAGCAAACTCAAATGGGCCATATTCAGTAAGTAAGCTGCGTATAGGATTCATAGAGGCGCCATCTATCGCTGCGCTTTTGAACTCTTATGTATTCCATTGACTTCAATAATATATTGGGGAAAGATAGTGACGCCACGCTTCATTCTCATGCTTTATTCGTGAAGTTTTAGAAGAAAGTTCATACGCTGTCATCAATGTATTTACATTGGTTGTATGGTCCCATTGAGCAAACTGAGCAACATATTTAGTTAATTTAATTGATTTATTCAATGTTCATCAAGGCAAAGTTATGCACCTGTTGAGCGAGAGCATTACTGCGCGGAGAATACAAAGACCAATGTTCATAAAATTTCTCTAGGCTGGGATAACCAACAGCGTATAGCACTGCACACTTTTTGTTGAAAAATGGCAAAATTTGCCGTAGAGAGCGCGCTTTTTTATGGACATTCCAATGGGGAACTGTTGGCGCCCTCTTGACGGTTTTTTTGATAACTAGTAGTGTTAGACGCTGTTGGGGATAACATCGTTGACAAATATTGGCACCCGCCGAGAGCTGAAAACGAAATAAAGCGACAAATGAATGTAATCTTACAAAAGTCTCTGGACATAAGTGACCTCTCGAAGCGGCACAGTTGAAACTAACGAAACAAACACAATTGGACATGTCATTTTCATGTTCAGTGTTGGTTCTTTTGTTTGCCGTATAGCCGGAGAGAGATGTCTACAGCTTAGTGGCATTGAATGACATTCAACATCCATGGCATATACTTACTTCAACACCATAAATCTTTTCCACGAATGTTGATAAATACACCTTTGATCCGTATGCATCTGTAAAGTTTTGTAGACAGTCCTCATCAAATAGGCAGAAACTACATCCCAAGCGCGACTCCACACTTAGCTTCTAAATGTGACACCGTAGTAAGTGTGGGCATACGTTTTGCAAACAAGCGACAAAGAGAATGGAAACAAGTGCGCGTGTGGTAGTGAGTAGCCTGATGCGATGCTTCTCAATGTAGCGACTAATACACGCGCACTTGTTCCCACTCTCTTTGTCGCTTATTCGCAAAACGTATGCCCACACTTACTACGGTGTCACATTTAGAAGCTAAGTGTGGGGTCGCGCTTGGGATGCACTCGAAGTGAGATGACTCTGCTCATAGTGAATCTGTTTCGCGAAAGTGATATGCTGCTTGAAACGGGCTAACAACATTTGGCACTTATAGCAAAGATCAAAGAGAAATGAGACGCGAGACTTTCAGTTGTCAAAGCACAACTAACCAACTTGTTACATTTATTCTTCTTCTTATATACTAAGTACAATGAGGAAGGAAGAGAAACTTGCAATGTTAAATTAATAATACGGAAATGCTTATTGTACAAAGAAACATTGGATTCGCTGACTATGACTAACAACAGTTCATTGGAATTTCAAACTGATTGAGGAGCTGTCTATATTTCTATGGAAAGTGTTACTGAGTATGGATATGATTTTGCATGAGATTCGCTTGTAATTTTTTAAGGAATGCGTAGATTTGTATCTATTTGTAGTGATATAAAGTAAATGTGATGTCGTATATCCTTGCATCAACTAACACTGTAGCTATTGAAAAAAGCAACGTAACCATGGCATGTGAGCCTGAATGTAACGCAAAGGTATGAGTCATGTCGTTTGATCATTCTCATTCTAATTTACATCATGTAAGCGACGGTTGATCTGTGGTCAACTTTGGGTTGACTTTGAAACGGAATATGTTTTGTGCATGCAGCGAAGATGTGAAAATTTTTAAATTTGAACAGCCACGTGCCATACTAACACCACTCAACCCTTCAAGAGTGAAAAATATTGACTTTTTAAATTTTTACATTGAATTTGTAGTTTCAAGAAGGTGATGAAAGAATAAATGTAAACATCTGATATTTTCAATGCAAAACATTCGATGTGAAACGCGAAATTAAACACACGTGCACAGGTGAAATTGTAATTCCATCAATTGTTCTGACATTGTTATCTTGAAAAAAGTGTGCGATAATATTTTGTGGGCTTTAATTAGAATCGTCATTGTACGTGGATTGAATCATACAGTGTGTTGCCTTGTATACTTGAAAAGTATATAAGAGGATGCGTTCGATTCGCATGTCCATCAAACAGTTCATTCCAATTGATACGTTCATAGTAAACTTTTAATAGTTCGAAGCTAGAAAAATGCTGAGTCGAAGTTCTTTCACACTGCTGCTCATTGGCTTGATGGTATCCGAGGTGAGTCGACAATTTCAGTCGATTTTTTTAAAATTTTTCATGTTTGATACTTTTCGCGGACAATTTCTGATAATTTTTTCTGAAATAATTTAAAAAATGAAAAGTGTCCTTTTTTCAAGTTCTTAAAATTGAAAAAATTCTTCTATTCCAAAAAAATGTCCACCGGAAACTTTTATCCTATTAAAAACAGTTGAAAACTGTTAATAATACATAATGTATTAATCTCATCCGTTGTTCCTATTCCAAATGTATCACTTTGATTCTATTTCCACAGTTCTTAATCGGGGATGTGAGCGGAGCACCACCCAGGAACGGTAAGATTGAAGTTTCATTTATTTATCCAGTTTAACTCTTAAATTCCATATACAAAGCACATTGTAACGAAGAAATGGGAACCTCAATTATGCTAAACTTTTCATACATATTTTAGTAAACGAAAAAGACATGTTTGGAGAGACAGCTCTGCATAGAGCTGCTTTTGCTGGTAATTTTGAACATTTTTTTTTATAAAAAAGAATGTTTTGTTCAATCCGTTTCATTGATGTATGAATATTTTTTCATATTCTTTCAGGCAAAGTGAAGGAAGCTGAAGACCTCATCACTGAAGGAGCCGACCCTAATATTGGAAATAATTTTAATGAGACAGCTCTGCATTATGCTGCTAAGAAAGGTAACGTTAAATACTTATTGTTATTGAATAAAAGATTGACCTGATTTTATCCCATCAATCGGTGTTATTTTTCAGGTCACAAGAGAGTCGCCGAACTTCTCATCCGCAAAGGAGCCAATCTTGATAGTGAAACTAATACGAAAGAGACACCTCTTCATTGTGCTGCTGCCCATGGTAATTTTGAATACTCTTTTCGAGTACTATGCGCATTAGTATTGTTTAGCAGCAAGCATTGAATATGCTTTGGTCAATAGACAAGCATATCGCGATGCAATACAGTTGACATCACACACAACTGCCGCGCACACAACTATCGTGCAAACAAACATCGCATATACAGCCATCGCAACCAACTCACACACAAAACCGACTAGCATA